TTATCAAATTGTAGGAGTAATTGGTTGACATCCTATTGTGTGAGTCATTAGTGGATTAATGACATGTTTCGCTCATTTCATAAGATTAACGGTTTGATGACAACTTGTTAATCCTAATTAATTGCACTAAAGGGAATTAAGGCAAGACTTACACTTGGATCTCAACTCCTATTGACAATAAATGTGAGAGTTACAAAATAAATGTGTTCTCTATAGAAAAAAAAAAGGTCAATCCCTCAAGAAAAAACGAGAGAAGGATGAAAAAAAGAGATGCAAGGTGAATGAGATTCACCAACGATGACTCTCAAGATAACATGTGATGCAAATAATATTATGATTATTTTAATTTGTCTATTATTATTTAGTTTATCTCTTCAGGAATAGGAGAGGAGGTGCGCAGGGATATTTGTGGGCATTGAGTTTATGTGTGAGTTGATATTTATGAATTGGGTTAGTTACTTTCAGAATATAAATAGGATAAGGTTAAATCTAAGGAGTTTATCTTTAAAACTAGGGAACGTTTTGGATAAAATGTAGTTTAAGAGGGAAGATATTTGTTTTACGTGATGGTTAAAAGAGCACGTGAATTTAAGATAGAAAAGATTGGGATAAGAGAAAAGGGAGATAAAATAGAAAAGTCGGTTCTTTATCTTCTTTTCTTTTTTTAATGTCTATTAAAAAGGATGTTTTCGTTCATTTAAAAAGGGTGGATGAGTTAATAAATTTTGGTCTCGTGAAGAGATTTTTGGGGTGGATTTCCTTACAGACTTTGAGAGATGATATATTCTCTCAATCTTGGGGTGAATTCCCTTGCAGACCTTGAGAGATGATTCATTCTCTCAGACCTTTTCGTTTTCTTTTTATTTTTTTATGATGTTATTATTTCTCTACATCAATTTACATCAATTGGTATCAGAGCTGCATTAATTGGTATCAAAGCAAGTCAGATCCAAAGAGCAAGTTAGATCATAGCAAGTCAAATCTAGAGAGTAAGTTAGATCAGAGCAAGTCAGATTCATAGAGCAAGTTAGATCTAAGCAATCAAGCTAGCAAGTTAGATTTAAGCAATCAAGCTAATCCTACTCTTGCTATGGATTATCGTTGGGTAGAAAATTTTATTAAAGCCCTAAAGGATTTTCGAACTGAAGTACGTGAGATCAATTAGAGGTTGCAGCTGTTGGAGAACAACATGAAGAAGGTACTTACAACCACAGTCATCTTGCACCAGTAATTCCACGACAAATCCAAGGTGTTGATTTCAAGCATATTAAAGAAATTTACAAGCTAAATCCACCGTGATTTATAGAGAAGCCATATCCGCCGCGTCCTATAGACGACCACGAAATTTTGACATTAAAATCGATCTTCCAAAATTTCACGGTCAAGGGTGTTCATCGATTGAACTTGGTGTTTTTTTGGAGCTGGACCCATTCTTGGTAGGGAATAATCAGCCCAAGCTCGTATTCAACAATTACTCTTTGAACACAATTGCAGGCATCAGTCTTGAAGAAAGAATACCGTGGCTCATCGTGGGACTTCATCACCATCTTTTGAGCTCGAGGACAAGCTTCTCTCAACCCGGGGAGACTGATGCAAATAATATTAGGGTTATTTTAATTTTTTATTATTCTTTAGTTTATCTCTTCGGGAATAGGAGAGAAGGTGCGCAGGGATATTTGTGGGTTGAGTTTTTTGCGTGAGTTGATATTGATTGATTTGGGTTAATTAGTTATTGATTGATTTGGGTTAATTAGTTTGGATTATAAATAGATAAGGTTAAATTAGGGGTGGTAGTTTAGGAGTATATATAGGATAAGATTGGATCTAAAGGGGCTTTATCTTCTCAACAACAAGCAAAGTTGAGGTAAAACATATGTTAGAAGCAAATATTTGGCACGTGATTTTAAGAGAGAGAAAATAAGGAAGAAAATATAAAATACGAAAAGTGTAGAGAGAGTTTTTTTGTTAAGATTTATCTTATTTTTTAGTCTATTTAAAGAGATGTTTCACTTCATTGTAAAAAAGTTGATGAGTTGAATAAAATTTGGTCCCGTGAATAGATTTTTCGAGTGGATTCCCTTGCTGAACTTGAGAGATGTTATATTCTCTCAACCTTAAGTTGAATTCCCTTGCAGACCTTGAGAGATGATATATTCTCTCAACCTTTTATTTTTATTTTTTTATGGATTTAGTTTCTCAATTTACATCAATTGATCTTAGAGCTGCATTAATTGGTATCAAAGCAAGTCAGACCCAGAGAGCAAGTTAGATCAGAGCAAGTAAGATCTAGAGAGCAAGTTAGATAAGAGCAAGTTAGATCCTGAGAGCAAGTTAGATCTAAGTAATCAAGCTAGCAAATTAGATTTAAGCAATCAAGCTAATCCTACTTCTGTTATGGATTATCGTTGGGTAGAAAATTTTACTAAAGCCCTAGAGGATTTTCGAACCGAAGTACGTGAGATCAATTAGAGGTTGCAGCGGTTGGAGAACAACATGAAAAAGGTACCCACAACTACGTTCATCTTGCACCAGTAATTTCATGACAAATGTAGGGTGTTGATTTCAAGCATACTAAAGAAATTTATAAGCCAGATCAGGCGTGTTCTTTAGAGAAGCCAGATCTGTCACGTCCTATAGACGACCACGAAATTTTGACATTAAAATCGATCTCCCAAAATTTCATGGTCAAGCGTGTTCGTCGATTGAACTTGGTGATTTTTTGGAGCTGGATCCACTGGTTGGGAAAAATCAGCCCAAGCTCGTATTCAACAATAACTTTTGGAACAAAGTTGCAGGCATCAGTCTTGAAAAAATAGTATCAAGGCTCATGGTGGGACTTCATCACCAACTTTTGAGCTTAAGGTCGAGCTTCTCCCAACTCAAGGAGAATGATGCAAATAATATTAGGGTTGTTTTAATTTTTTATTATTATTTAGTTTCTCTCTTCAAGAATAGGAGAGGAGGTGCACAGGGATATTTTTGGGCATTGAGTTTTGTACGTGAGTTGATAATGATTGATTTGGGTTAATTAGTTATTGATTGATTTGTGTTAGTTAGTTTTGAATATAAATAGATAAGGTTAAATTTGGGGAGGTAGTTTAGGAGTATAAATAAGATAAGGTTGGATCTAAGGGGGGTTTATCTTCTCAACAACAAGTAATGTTGGGGTAAAACATGGGTTAGAAGCAAATATTTGGCCCGTGATTTTAATAGATAGAAAATAGGAAAGAAGAGATAAAATTGGAAGAGTGTAGAGAGAGTTTTTTTTGTTAATGCTTATCTTATTTTTTTAATCTATTTAAAGGGAGGTTTCCCTTCATTGTAAAAAAGTTGATGAATTGAATAAAATTTACTATCATGAAGAGATTTTTGGGGTGGATTCCCTTGCAGACCTTGAGAGAGGGTATATTCTTTCAATCTTGGGGTGAATTCCCTTACAGACCTTGAGAGTCTACTCCTGCTATAGATTATCGTTGGGTTGAAAATTTTACTAAAGCCCTAGAGGATTTTTGAACTGATGTACGTGAGATGAATGAAGAGATGAATGAGAGGTTGCAGCGGTTGGAGAACAATATTTGAAGTACTCACAACCACATTCATCTTGCACCAGTAATTCCACGACAAATCCAAGGTGTTGATTTCAAGTATATAAAGAAATTTACAAGCTAGATCCACCGTGATTTATAGAGAAGCCATATTCGCCGCGTCCTATAGACGACCACGAAATTTTGACATTAAAATCGATCTCCCAAAATTTCACGGTCAAGGGTGTTCATCGATTGAACTTGGTGTTTTTTTGGAGCCTGATCCAGTCCTAGTTAGGAATAATCAGCCGAAGCTAGTATTCAACAATTACTCTTGGAACACAGTTGCAGACATTAGTCTTGAAGAAAAAGTATCGACGCTCATGGTGGGACTTCATCACCAACTTTTGAGCTCGAGGTCGAGCTTCAACCAACCTGGGGAGAATGATGCAAAAAGTATTAGGGTTATTTTAATTTTTTATTATTCGTTAGTTTATCTCTTCAGGAATAAGAGAGAAGGTGCACATGGATATTTGTGGGCATTGAGTTTATGTGTGAGTTGATATTTATGGATTGGGTTAGTTAGTTTAGGAATATAAATAGGATAAGGTTAAATCTAGAGGGTTTATCTTTTCAACTTGGGAATGTTTTGGATAAAACGTAGTTTAAGAGAGAAGATATTTTTTTAGTACGTGATGGAGTGCACGTGAATTTAAGAGAGAAAAGATAAGGATGAGAGAAAATAGGGAGATAAAATAGGAATGTCAGTTCTTTATCTTCTTTTTTTTTTTTTAAGTCTATTAAAAGGGACGTTTCCCTTCATTGTAAAAATGGTGGATGAGTTATGAAGAGATTTTTGGGGTGAATTCCCTTGCAGATATTAAGAAAGGGTATATTCTCTCAAGCTTGGGGTGAATTGCCCTGCAGACCTTGAGAGATGGTATATTCTCTCAAACTTTTTCATTTTTCTTTTTATTTTTATGGTGTTATTATTTCTCTACATCAATTTACATCAATTGGTATCAGAATTGTATTAGCATGTCACCAGATGGCTTGGTCTATAGCGTTTGATATGAAACCTTAAGTTCTTCTATGATTTAAGGATAGATTTGAGTAAATTATTTATTAATTTTATTTATCTATTATCTATTTATTAATATTGTTATTATTTTAATTAAGACTAACAATCGCGGCCACCACCACCACCACCAACACTCCTACTACCATTGCATTGCCACCACTGTCACACTATATTTCACCATCACACTATCACTACAACCATTACCATCACACCCCATCATCATAATTTATAACTCCAATTGTCACAAGAAAACATCCAAAGGGAACAAATAACAATCCACCAAATTACCATTTGGACAATTATAAATTGAAGAACCATTTGATAAGATTATGCAGCAAACGGTTCCTAAGATCCGAACAGAGAAGGAAACAATAATGTAAAGTAAAATTTCTAAGTCACGTCAACAAAGACAATTATTATTATTAATCTATTATTATATATCTTTCTGCATAAATGCCAATACAACACACATTGAGCAAGAACATTGACATCATAGGGCTAACAAGTATTAGACATGGCCTTGTGCCACATCCATGGTTCTGAGGGGCATCTAGGCAAAGGAGGAAGCATCATCTTCCTACGATACAGACCAAAAGGCCACCCCTCACAGAAACTCAACTTCTCCAACAGAGACCTCCATGCACAATCTAGAAAAATTTCTTTTCTCTCTACCGGGCTCGAACAACACGAGAAATCACTCCTCACTGAGAACCACACTTCTTCTTCTTCTTCTTCTTCTTCTTCTTCTTCATGTCCTTCTCTCTCTTGATTTTCTTTGACTTGTAGTGATATGTTGAACCCAAATTTGCTGTGCAAATAGGCGAGTAGAGGCTTCGCTTCTTCTTCCACAGGAGCGATGGTTAACTCTCCGGTGACAGGCGAGATTACCCATTGGAGGCCTTCACAGAGAGAGCTATCTTTGTGCCGGTGCCTTGCTTCCAATGCGAGTCTTCTAACTGCAAAAACAATACGCTGGGATTCCAGAGAGATGTTAGATTCTTGAATCATATGAATGTTTCGCAAAGTATTTGACAAATCGAACCAGAACCAGAAACGGGCCTAACCAGACAGGTCCCAAGAAGGTCAAAACGTGTTAGAAAAAATTAACAAAAAATACAAATCCTAAAAATTATGAAAATAATATTTAAAACATAATAAAAAAAAGCATATCCTAATGAAGTTTGAAAAGTAGTGAAAAATATGAATTTTAAAAAATCAATTTGTGTGGTATTTTAGACAATCTAAAAAAAAAGGAAAAATGTAAACATGGCCAAAATACATTCCAATTTTTGCTAAAATGATAATAAAAACTAAAAAAAATAAAAAAATAAAAAACATTGAAAACAAATTCCTCAATTTTTAGGATTTCATATATAATTTTTTGAAATTTTTTAGTATAACCGGCTAGACCAATTAAACTGGCCAAAAGCCGCTCAGCCAATGGCCGGTTCTGAGTTGGACAGGCCGATTTGTCGAACACTGGTTTTTCCTGTGCATAACTTCGTGTGTGATATGCAAGACACTGAGAGAGAGGATGAGCGATGAAGTTTTAGAGATTAGAGACATTTGTTTCTGCATCTTCCTCATCCATGTCGCTAGGGAGCATTTCCTCGGCATTGAGATCTTGGGGGGAACGTTTTCCGGAGGGAAAAGAATGGCAATGTGTGAAACCATGCTTCAAGCGAAAGTGGAGTAGTTTACAAGGGGTTGGGTGCCTCTTTGCCTCCTCCAACATGCCAAAATTCATCTTTAAATCTGCAAGAACCAATGCTTCAATGCTGTCCTGTACTTATAACTGTAGAGAGAGAGATTATAAGTGTAGAGAGAGAAAGAGATAGAGAGAGATGACTGTTTATCTTAAAGCTAAGTTGATGGGATCATCCCTTTGGGGTAAAGCTAACGTTGTTTGAGGCGGTTAACAGTTCATGTTAAGACTGACTTGTTACCAACCCTCAAACTGGGACGTACTACGGTACATATTTGTGACATTTTATTCACATGATCTATATGCCCTTGATATTGCCTCCAACTAAGGGTTAAAATGGGGCGGGCCCTTGTCCAAGTCATATTCTAAGTATTTAGGATCGGCTATATGAATTATGTTCTGTTATTCTTCTCTATCAAGGTCATACCTTCAGTAAAACCAAAAGTCATCATATCTTTTTTCAAAATCTCCAACCATGTCTTTTTGGGTAGCCTTTGACTTGAACCAATTCAAACCTCCTAACCGGTGTTGTATTAGCTCTACGCTATACTCAGCTAGCCCACCTAAGTCTACTTTGTTAGTATTTTTTATTTTAAATATACTTGTATGTATTTCAAAATAGTAATGATTTTATGGTTCTTTTCCTAATATGTTTTTATAAAGAGAGAAAGTTGTGGGTTTAATTGCTACATTGAAGAGGAGAGTGTTAATCAAGCGGTATTTAAGAGTAGGTATTCACATATCTTATACTCTTAATATAAAGGTGAGAGACACGGTACATGTGTGGAGCACGGGACGCATGTGACGCACACGTTCACATCAAGGGCGTTTAATGATACACTTTGCACTATAATTGGGTCCTTTTCTCATACGAGAGAGTGAATTCCAGCATACTTTTGAGCCTATCAATTCCAACACACTTTTGAGCTCTCAACATACATTTTGTTGGAAATGTAGCCTATCGGGACCTTTTTCTTTCAGAAACTCATTTTTCCAATAATGATACAAACGCCATATTGAAGTATATGTGAAATCACATGTGGTTAACATGAGGCAATGTCATATACATAGATCCATTTTTTAGCTTTAAGAGGATGTATCTCTGGAGGAAAAAACTCAGTACCACTGGAGGAAAAATCTAGTAGTGTATTTGGTTTCCTTGTAAATTGTGGGAATGCTTAGATGACATCCTATTACATGAGTCATTAGTGAACTAATGATATGTTTAGCTCATTACATATGATTAACAGTTTTGCGACAATTTGTTAATCCTAATTAGCTAAACTTAAGGGAATTAAGGCAGGAGTTACATTTGGATCTCAACTCCTATAGACCATGAATATGAGAGTTACAAACTAATGTGTTCTTTATAAAATGATGTTAACCCCTCTAAAGAAAAAAGAAAAAGCTAATAGAAAAATAAAGATGGAAGGTGAAGGAGATTCACCAAAAGAACTTTCAAGGTAGCCTGTCACCGGATGGCTTGGTCTATAGGATTTGGTATGGAACTTTAAGTCCCTCGTGTGATTTAAGGACACATCCGAGTAAGTTGTTTATCGAGTTTATTTATTTATGTATTGATTTTCATTTATTGGGACTAACACGTTTTCCCTGAAAAACCTGGGAGATAAAAGTGGATTCATCTCGCTCTCTACTTGTTTTTCCTCCTCCTCTCGCTAAGACTTCATAAGACTCTGATGTCTAGTGTGTATGTTTCAAACTCGGGTGCACAGAGCTTCGAAACCCCAAAAGAGACGTCTCAGTTTTTCTATATCTCGAGGATGGATTGCCCTTCTTATGTACATAAAAAAGAGTACCGAAAGGGGGGATTGGGGGCAAATATTGTCTTAAGATAGCGCTCTTGTGTGCTCGAAAATAAGAAGGTTTGAAGCTTCAATTTTCAGAATTTGTACTATCTTTTTGCCCTATTTTCACCCACCCATTCCTAACATACTTTTCCTCATCTTATCTCTTAGTGAAGTCCTACCTAAGATATCTTGTATATATTTATTCTGAATTTTATCATTTCTTGTCAAGCCACAACCATTTCGATATCTTCATCTCAACTACACTCATCCTAAGGATATGTTGTTCTTTGACCGCCCAACATTATGTTCTATAAAAGCATGGTTGGTCTTAAAGGTCTTAGAGAACTCCACCTTCAATCTCACTCATATACGACGATCACATAAATTTCTTGACGTACATCTCAAATTTGTCCACTCAGCTCTAATTCCATGTGCAATATCTTCCTCAATCTCTCCATTCTCCTAGATTATCAACCCTAAATGTTGAAAACAATCTCTTTTAGGTATTTATTAACCATCAATCTTAATTATTTCCTCTTTTCTACTCCTATTATGACTAAACTTACCTTCTATATATTTTGTCTTGGCTGGGCTAATTTTGAAAACCCTTAGATTCTAGTGCACTCCTCTAACGTTCTAACTTTGTGTAGACGTTGCCTATAGTTTAATCAATCAAAACTAAAAGAGGGACGTACCAGTCTGGTACTAGCCCTTGCCCTAGCCCTGTCCTCGAGCCACAATTTGTGGCATAAGCCCTACTTTTTTTAGAGTAGGGCAGGATTGAAGATCATAGTAAGTCTTCTTTTATTTTGGAACTTTATTTTGGAGGTTTGAATTTACGGTTGTAAACTTCCCCAGAAGCAATTGGTTTTGAAGTTTGCACTAGAAAATTTTGAGTAACATTGTCCTCCAAAACAATTAAAATTTGCACTTGATTTTTCTTACTCTCTCTTCAAAATTAGTTCACAAATCGAATACGGAGTTGTTGCTGTACAACAAATAGGAGGAGAAACTGAACTTCCATTTAAAGAACCAAAGAAAAAAAAGGCAAACTTATGCCTTGGTTGCCACTTAACCAGACTATCATCCCAAATAGTCGTATAATTTTCTTTATAATTAATTAAATTTTTCATTGAGAAAATGAAAATCATTACATGAGTCATAAAGAGCAAAATGGAAAAACGTCAAGACATTCATACATAGGCCACCAAGACATTCACTGATTGCAACACCTTCTCCCAACTTCAAATCCATTGCCGACCTACCCCCCAGAAAAACAATAAAGAAAACACTGCCCTCCCTATCTCCAACAACCATGATAGAAAGAGACGGCAAATTGGTATAGAGTGAATGTCATAGATATACCATTTGTTAAAATTCATGTAATTGCCTCCTATGAAAGGTCCATGGAAAAATGAAAAATGAAAAATGACCAAAGGCCTTGCTTATAAATCAAGTAAACCTCATCTTGACTATAGCACCCAAAAAAACTCTATCTTTCAAATTTAAAGCAAGAAATGAAACATGTTAGTAGAAATACTAATATTTTAAGGGATTATATATAATGAGACTATTTACTATGAGTACAAGGAGGTCACAATTACTTATAAACATTCGATGTGAAATCAGATAGCTTGGATGTGTCACAAAGTTTAAAAAAAAAAAAAGGTTGAACTTTGAGGTTGGCTAGGGCAACTATTACAACCACCCAATTTCACATCCAATGGTTAAGATTAATTGTGTCCACCTTGCACAGAAGATAAATGGTCTCATTATATACTTTTCTTTATTTTAGTGAGTGTTCATTATGACAACCCCCCAAAAAAAAAAAAGACTCTGGCTTTCAAATTTAACATATGTTAGTATTTTTATGTATGTTATAAAACAACTAGGGTGCTTTGTATAGTGTGCAGTTTATACAAAGCAGTATCTTAAACAATCAAGATAAGTTGCTAAAAGATGCAGTGCTTGGTATCAGAAACCCTTGCAATAACCTAAAAATCTATTTTTACTTTTAAGTATAAAAGTTTTTTTAAAAAAAAATGTTAAAAACTTTATTGATGGAGAAGAGATTACAAAATGCTTGCATCATTGGACAACAAAAGCAAAGGTAAGTAACGCCCCTTTTAGGAAGAGAATCAGCCAAAGAATTTACCTCTTTATAAACTTGGTTGAACGAAATCCTTAAAGAATCTGCCAAATCTAGAGTTTGATACCAAATAGATCTATGTTCCTAAGGTACTCTTTGATCTTTTTTACACCATTTAATCACATTCATGGAGTCTCTTTCTATTGCACAATATACCCCAAAATCTTTGTCTTTGAAAATCTTTTGACCTTAAAAACGCAATGCAAATTCAGCATAATTGGCAGTTGCCAAACCCAACAGGTCAACATACAAGAAAACCACTGCGCCATTCCAATCCCTAATAACTCCCCCTATGCCAACATCACTCTGGTTACCAACAATTATGAAAGTTAAAGCTCAAAAAAATATGTAGATAGAAAAGATTTATAAACGCATAACTAGTTTTAGGTCTAAATAATGTGTTTAAAGATACTTTGCTTTTAGGTCTTGAAATCTTTTTCTTTTCGTATGAATACAAGAGCTCGAGATGATCACCAAGAGGCTTTTCCAAAGTTAAAACAGCATTTTTTGGTGGATTTTTGAGGTAAACTTTACTTCTATAATATAAAATTGACACCTTATATAAACCTTTCCTTTTCCTATTGTTTTGGTAATTTTTAAGGCAAAATTCCTGAGACACCAGCAGTGAGCCGAGCTGACGCAAGGGTTAGGGCCAAAGTCTTTCTTTTTTTTTCTTGTCACACATCATACACATGATTAGGCCCTTTCCTTGTGTATGGGGACCTGACTTTTGACCGAGGTTAATACATTTGATGAGGATCAAGTATATTTCTTA